GCTTCTGGCGGGCCACTGGAGATTTGATTGGCTTTGCAGATTTTTTAAAATGTTAGCTTGGCAGCAGCTGCCGCCACGGCACAAGGATCTTCACTGTGTGGCTAAAGGTCGGCGGTGGCAGCCATTCTGTTGCTTTCTCCACCTCTCCCGGCAACCATTTTGTGGCTGCGCGCCCACCAACGCTGCGTCAGAATTCCAGAGATGCCCACAGGCCCAAAAGTTGGGGGACCCCCGATTTAAAATATACATGACAAAATCGCAGGATGCGTGGTAAAAATCCTGCCCCATCGATCCTGATTGATTAAAAAAAGGAACTGTTATGGACAATGTTTTCCTGCTCTCTCACTTCAGACCTTGTCCGTTAAGTTGCAAATGTGGGAAGCCAAAAGGCCTGGCACCTTCCGAACAAAAGCTGCCAGGACCTATGCCAGTGTGTCGTTTGGATAAGTGACGTCTGAAATAGTGCTGCTGCTTCTAGGGGACGAGGAGGGAGGCAAGGTTGCTTGGAACTCCCCCCCCCCCTTAATTTACCTTTCTTGTAGTAAAAATCCTGCCCCATCGATCCTGATTGATTAAAAAAAGGAACTGTTATGGACAATATTTTCCTGCTCTCTCACTTCAGACCTTGTCCGTTAAGTTGCAAATGTTGGAAGCCAAAAGGCCTGGCACCTTCCGAACAAAAGCTGTCAGGACCTGTGCCAGTGTGTCGTTTGGATAAGTGACATCTGAAATTGTGCTGCTGCTTCTAGGGGATGAGGGGGGAGGCAAGGTTGCCTGGAACTCCCCCCCCCCTTAATTTACCTTTCTTGTAGAAAACACTCGGGCATTGGCACAGCGTGGCAGCTGAAAGTGTTCTGTAATAGTCGTGCAACCATCAAAACTGTATCTTCGTACCCGTGTATGTATTGGCCTCCATTGACACCCAACCCTTACTTTGCTCTTGTGGTCTGTTCTGCAGGAGGTGTACAGGATCCCAAAGAAGAGTCAAGTGGAGAAAGAGACCAGTGGTATGTACTCAGCAATGCTTGATCTTTACAATAAAACCAACTGATCAGTTAACTGGGTGACACAGTCTGTGCGTGTTGACTGTGGGAACTTAGAACTGATTGTGCCCCAGGTGGTTTAGACTGTGGAGGCATATTTCAGCAGATCTTGAGGGAGCTCACGCACCAGCGCAGCCTTTCCAGAAATTCTCAGTTGTGGCACCAACATTTTGGAACTCCTTCCCCATGGACATTAGTCTGTCTCGTTCTATTGGCGTCTTTCACCAGCGGGCGAATACTTTTTGGTGTAGTGTAGTGGTTAGGGGAGAGTGGACTCTAATCTGGGAATACCAGGTTTTATTCCCCACTCCTCCTCCGCATGCAGCTGCTGGTGTGACCTTGAGTCAGTTACAAGCTTTTTCAGAGCTGTTTCCCTCAAGGGCAGTTCTCAAGAGAGCTCTCTCAGCCCCGCCTACCTCACAGGGTGTCCGTTGTGGGGAGGAGAAAGGAAGGAGTTTGTAAGCCACTCTGAGACTCCTTCGGGTAGTGAAGGGTTGGGGTATAGATCCAATCTCCTCCTCCTCCTCCTCCGTCTTCTCCGTCTTCGTCTTCTTCTGTTTCCGTCAGAGTTCTCTCAGCCCCACCGACCTCACAGGGTGTCTGTTGTGGGGAGGGGAAGGAGATTATAAGCTGCTCTGAGACTCCTTCGGGTAGTGAAGGGCGGGGTATAAATGTAATCTCTTCTTCTTCATTGTCTGGCATATCCTCAATATTTGCTACTGGCCCTCTTTCCAGTGTTGCTCTAGTTAGAGGAGGAAAAGCTTGCAGAGGTGCTAAAAGATGTCATCTCATTGCTCCTTTGTTTTCTGTGTGGGAAAATAGCCACTGTTCTTTGGAAGTGTTTTATGCATGAATCATCGAATCATAGAACGTTAGAGTTGGAAGGGACCTTGCCGGTCATCTAGTCCAACCCCCCTGCACTCTGCAGGAGTAATAGTGTTATTGGTTAGGATCAATGCTCCCTCTAAGCAGTGGGTTCTTGTGAGCAAAAACCCTCCTTTGTAAGCTGCTGGCATTAAAGTGGTGAGCGAGCGATTTGGCCACTGCACCAATCAGTTTGCTCCGGAGCCCCATCCTCCCTGAGCGGAGACAAAAAAAATGTGTGAGCCGGAGGCTAAAAAACTGTGAGCTAGCTCACACTCACTCAGCTTAGAGGGGACACTGGTGAGGATCAGTGTTCCCTCTAAACTGAGTTAGTGTGAGCCAGCTCACAGTTTTTTAGCCTCCAGCTCACATTTTTGTCGTGGCTCAGGTAGGATGACTCCAGGGCCAACTAATCTATCCAGTAGCCAAATCGCTTGCTCACAAATTTCATGCCAGTAGCTCACAGAGTAGAAGTTTTGCTCACAAGACTCCACAGCTTAGAGGGGACACTGGTGAGGATATGGGCGAGTTGAGTGAAGTCTTGGTGGTGGAAAGTGCCGCCAAGTCACCTCTAACCTAAGGTGACCCCGTAGGCTTTTCTAGCCAAGAAGAAGAAGAAGAGATTGGATTTATACCCCATGGCCCTTCACTACCCAAAGGTGTCTCAGAACGGCTTACAAACCCCTCTCCCTCCCCCTCCCCACAACAGACACCCTGTGAGGTGGGTGGGGCTGAGAGAACTCTGACAGAAACTGCTCTTTTCCAAGGACAGCTGTGCCAGAGCTTGTGGCTGACCCAAGGTCACACCAGCAAGTGCAAGTGGAGGAGTGGGGAATCAAACCCGGTTCTCCCAGATTAGAGTCAGCGCACTTAACCACTACACCAAACTGGCTCTCCGGTGGCTTGCCGTTGCCTGCCTCCGTGCAGCATCCCTGGCCTTCCTCGTTGGTCCTCCCATCCGAGTACTTATCAGGGCACCCCCCTGCTTGGATTCCGGGATCCGATGAGGTTGGGCTAGCCTGGACAGTCCAGGTCAGGGCAAAGCAAGGTCCGGTGGTGGCGACGGGAAGTGCCATCAAGTGCCAGCCAACCCGCGCTGACCCCCCGTAGCATTTTCAAGGCAAGCTACGTCCAGAGATGGGTTCGCCCTTGCCTTCCTCTGCATAGTGACCCTGGACTTCCTTGGTGGTCTCCCGTCCGAGTACTCTGGTTGGTTCCAGACGACTGTATTTGGCACACGGGGATATATGGAAGGGAGACACCCCTTCGAATATGTGGGTCTTCAAGGACAGCTGAGGTTGAGAAAACGGTCTGGGGGAAAGACTTATTCCCCCCCCCCCTTTAATGTTATGGTCGAGTGCAAACCAGACTTCCATGGACATGTTTAAATTGTCAAAAACACTGGAGGTACCTAACTTGGAACTTGGGAGTATCTTCTCTGATTTGATGGTAGTCACGTGTCTGAGCGAACATGCCCTGGATTTTGCTGTGAGTATCCTTAAGTTAGATGATTCTCTGTGTCTGCCTTTGTTCCTCCGTCTCCAGTGAAAATAAGCATCTTCTTTGAAGTACAAGGCTGCTATAAAGTTCAGGAAGGTTTATAATTAGTAATATTAGCCTATTTACTGTGGAACAAAAGAACCAAAAGCATTTATGAAGCCTCCAAAGTTACTTTGTATGTTTTGTACCCTTTATCCTGCAAATTTAGCCAAGTCTGCAAAGATTGAAAACAGATTTTTCAGTTTGTTGCTGTTCGACGTGATTTTTTTTAAATTTTTTTTTGCTTTCCTGGTTCATGCTTTCAGTTTTGCCAAATGTTGAGGCTTTGTAGTATAAATTGGGGCAGGGGGGAGCAAATTTATATTAAATGGCATCATTGTGGGGGTTAAAAAAGCAAGCTTTGCAAAGTACATCATACATTAAAAAATCGATTTCTTCAAGAGAGTGAAATGCATACTTTGGTGGGGCTTAGAAATATTCCACTTCAGCTGGATCAAGCCCAGTATTGCACTATTTTTCTGTCTCTTGGTGACAAGGCTTGTCTCTGACCCCATCTGGGTAGCGCTAGACACACAGCCGATACTGTAGCTAATGTCTCCCGCCTGTTTCTTACAGCAGAGCGAGGGCGAGAGACAACAGGTCGAGACCCAGCCGCTACCCCGAAAAACCTGAGCAGGGAGCGAGATCCTGAAAGACGAAGCCAAAGCAAAGAAAAGAAAAAGCGGAGAGACTCTCTGTCCCCCCCTTCGGCGTACGAGCGAGGCACGAAGCGGCCAGATGACCGGCAAGTCTGGATTTTGTTGTACTTCTCCAGCTAAGGGCTTAACGCTCCGATCTTCTTATTCTGAGCAGTAAGGAAATTGCAGGGAGTGATGCTGTGCAAAGGGGAAGCAGCTGCCAGAGTAGGAGGGTGTTCTTGGGGTTCCTTTCCAAAGACCCCAACTACAGTTTGCTACAAATGTCACACCAGGCGAATTTGATAAATCATAGCTGTGGGCTGGCCTGATGTCTGTACTGATGGGCCCTAGAACTGTGTTTGAGTCCAGTGGCACCTTTAAAAAAGGTAAGGGTTCCCTTGCTCGAAAGCCAATCGAGTCGGACTCTAGGGTTGCGGTGCTCATCTCCGTTTCAAAGCCAAAGAGCCAGCGCTGTCCGAAGACGTTTCCGTGGTCATGTGGCCGGCATGACTAAACACCAAGGCGCACGGAACGCTGTTCCCTTCCCACCGAAGTGGTACCTATTTATCTACTTGCAATTTCTTGCTTTCGAACTGCTCGGTTGGCAGGAGCTGGAACTAGAGACGGGAGCTCACTCCGTCATGCGGCAACTCGGGTCTCGAACTGCTGAACTACTGACCTTCCTCAGCCTGCAGTTCAGCGTCTTAACCACTTGAGCCACCGCAGCTCCAGTGGCACCTTTAAGACCAACAAAATTTAATTCTGGATATAAGCTTTCGTATGCAAGCACACGGAAGCATATACCCAGAATTAAACTTTGTTGGTCTTAAAGGTGCCACTGGAGCTGCGGTGGCTCAAGTGGTTAAGACGCTGAACTGCAGGCTGAGGAAGGTCAGTAGTTCAGCAGTTCGAGACCCGAGTTGCCGCATGACGGAGTGAGCTCCCGTCTCTAGTTCCAGCTCCTGCCAACCGAGCAGTTCGAAAGCAAGAAATTGCAAGTAGATAAATAGGTACCACTTCGGTGGGGCTGAAACTATAGTTTGGGTTCTAAACAGTGGTGGGCCCAAGACCATGGCTTGAGGGAGGTCTGAATTAAACCAATCAGGCCTTTCAAGTATTTATAGCCTGATTTTGCAGATATTATTCAAAGTAGCTTATGACAAAGGCTGAAGTTGAAACACATAAACTGTCATAAGAACATAAGAGCCCTGCTGGATCAGACCAATGAAGGCCCATCTAGTACCGCATCATGTCTCACACAGTGGCAGACCGGTTCCTCTGGACGGCCAACAGCAGGGCAGAGAGGCCTAGACCTTCCCCTGATGTTGCCTCCTGGTTCTGGAATTCAGAGGCTTAGTGCCTCTGAATGTGGAGGGGGAAGAGTTACTTTGGCGGGCTTCTCCCTGCTGCCTGACTGGCTGGGGGGCCATCAGGGGATCCACCTCGAATAATGCCTATCTGCTGGCTTCGCACGCTTTCTCTTTAGTTCTAACACGAAGCAGTTAAGACACCTGCATACTGTCAATAAACTTTTATATCCTCGAATGGACACTGTTGGGAACGGATCGCTCCAGGAGTCTGGCAGCCACAACCGACAAGGGCCCTCTCCTGGATTGCTGCCTGCCTAACCTCACAAGGTGGTGGTGGGGGGCACCTGGAGCAGGGCCTCCAAAGATGACCGTAGGGACGGACAGGTTCCTAAGGACATACGCTGGTCCCAAATCATGCAGGGCTCTGAAGGACAACACCAGCACCTTGGATTGTGCCTGGAAACAAACTGGGGGCCAGTGTAGATGGGCCAAGACTGCTGTGTTATGGTCCCAACATTCTGGCTGCAGCGTTCTTCACCAACTGAGGTTTCCAAACACTTCTCAAGGGCAGTTTGTTTCCAGGCACAATCCAAGGCGCTGGCGTTGACCTTCAGAGCCCTGCATGATTTGGGACCAGCGTATGTGAAGGACTGCCTATTCCTTAGGAACCTGTCCGTCCCTACGGTCATCTTTGGAGGCCCTGCTCCAGGTGCCCCCCCACCTTGTGAGGTTAGGCAGACAGCAATCCAGGAGAGGGCCCTTCTCGGTTGTGGCTGCCAGACTCCTGGAGCGATCTGTTCCCAACAGTGTCCATTCGAGGATATAAAAGTTTATTGACAGTATGCAGGTGTCTTAACTGCTTCGTGTTAGAACTAAAGAGAAAGCGTGCGAAGCCAGCAGATAGGCATTATTCGAGGTGGATCCCCTGATGGCCCCCCAGCCAGTCAGGCAGCAGGGAGAAGCCCGCCAAAGTAACTCTTCCCAGGGGGAAGAAGATACCAGGCACTCAAGGGTCATACAGCTTAAGGTACAGAGATGATAGAACCAGGGAAGGCACAGCAGAAACAAAAGTAGGCATTCCTTAGTTGCCCCCACACACACACACTCTCTCTCTCTCTCTTACGGCAGCCAGGACTATGCAGAGGCCTAGCTAACAATGGCACCAACGCTCTGGAACTCCCTTCCCCAGGGAGATTCGCCAGTCGCCTTCTGTTGCCATCGCCCGCAAGCGGGTGAATCCTTTTTGTTTGTTTGTTTCATCTGGCCTTCCCTCCATGAACCATAGGCGCTGCGGTGGCTCAAGTGGTTAAGACGCTGAACTGCAGGCTGTGGAAGGTCGGTAGTTCAGCAGTTCGAGACCTGAGTGCGCCGCATGTCGGAGTGAGCGCCTGTCTCTAGTTCCAGCTCCTGCCAACCTAGCAGTTCGAAAGCAAGAAATTGCAAGTAGATAAATAGGGACCATTTCGGTGGGACGGTAACAGCATTCCCTGTGCCTTGGTGTTTAGTCATGCCGGCCACATGACCACGGAAACGTCTTCGGACAGCGCTGGCTCTTCGGCTTTGAAACGGAGATGAGCACCGCAACCCTAGAGTCGGATTCGACCGGCTTTCGAGCAAAGGAACCTTTACCTTTAATCTGCCTTGAATCTGGACAAGGAAGGTGGATGATCGGTGAAGTAAATAAATAATATTTCTTCAGGGCCAACTGGTGCTTCCATAACAGTGAGGGGGTTTTTGTTTCGTTTTGTTGTTACAGTTTATGGCAATCATGTCTCAGAAAAGGAGACGTTACCGTGTCTTAATTGATGATCTTATGTTTTTCATGCGTTTTAGTTCGGTTTTAAATTTTGTCTTAGTGAAGCTTGTTTTTTGGGGAAAGGCCATTTTAACGGTTTTATAATGTGGTTTTTATCACATATGTTTTAATTCGTTCACTGCCTCGGTGGCCCTTGTGAAACCGGAAAGGCGGGATATAAATTTTGTAAATGATGCATAAATAGACCTTCAGACGGTCGTCAAAATACTCAGGTGCTTGTGTTGGTTGATGCCCCTGCAAAACCGTCTGGGATCTAATATTCCACCCTTTCAATTTATTTATTTTATTCGTTAGGCTGCCACCTGTTTGTTTTCCTTGCCTTTTCATTTAGGGTGGCTAAAACCCTTGAACCAAATCTTGTATGTGCTCTGTTAGGGGAAATGCCCCGGAGTTGTGCACCAGGGGAAATGGAATTCTGTGATCTTGTTAAGTACGGAATTTAACCATGGATATCTAGAAGGGAAACTTTCGTGTCTGGTTCTTCTTCTCCCAATCCTCCCGAAAATGCTGGAGCTCCTTTCCACTGAGTTGAAATCAAAGACTTGCACGACATATCCGTTTGGGCTTGCTTTAGGATTGTGCAGGGAATTGTGAAAAGGGTAGGGAAATTTCAGGCCCCACTGGTGGGGACCTCCTGAGGGCCCCTGGTATTTCTAGTGTTGGACTGGATGGGCCACTGGCCTGATCCAACATTGTCGTCTCTTATGTTCTTAATTCTCAGTCTGGGGCAAGTGATGCTCTGTATTCTTGGTGCTTGGGGGGGGGCAACAGTGGGAGGGCTTCTGGTGTCCTGGCCCCACTGGTGGACCTCCTGAGGGCCCCTGGTATTTCTGGCCACTGTGTAACACAGAGTGTTGTACTGGATGGGCCTTTGGCCGGATCCAACATTGGCTTCTCTTATGTTCTTATGTTCAGGACATGGTTTATTTATTTACTTATTAATTTACGTATTTAATTATATCCTGCATTTCTTCCCCTGTGGGGACCCAAAGGGGCTAACACCATTCTGCTCTCCCCTGTTTTATCCTCACACCAACCTTGTGAGGTAGGTTAGGCTGAGAAGATCTGACTGGCCCAAGGTCACCCAGCAAGCTTCCATGGCACGAGTGGGAATTCAAACCAGGATCTCCCAGGTCCTAATCTGACACTTTAACCACTGTAGTGCCACGCTGTCTCTTGGTAGTCTTGAGTTTTGTGTTGTTGCTCTTTGGGACCGAGCCAGCTATAAATCTAAATATATTGGCTTATTTTGCAAAACTGAGTCTGCTTCTCTTGGTTTGGTGTAGTCGTTAAGTGCACGGACTCTAATCTGGGAGAACCAGGCTTGATTCCCCACTCTTCCACTTGCAGCTGCTGGAGGACCTTGGGCAAGCCGTAGTTTTCACAGAGCTGTTCTCTCAAGTGCAGTCCTCGGGAGAGCTCTCTCAGCCGCACCTACCTCACAAGGGTGTCTGTTGTGGGGAAGGGAAAGGAGTTTGTAAGCCCCTCTGAGACTCCAAGGGAAAGGCCGGGTATAAATCCAATCTCCTCCTCCTCCTTCATGTGAGAGGGGTGAGAGGGTGGCTGACAACCCTACTCTTTTTATCTTCCTGAAAACTTAGGGCCAAACTAGGGAAGATAGTGAGAGTTGAGTGATGATTTGGGGGGGGGGGGATTTACAATTAAAAGAAGCTGTGGGGGTGGGGGAGAGGATAGATCAGAGCCAGACAAGGGAAGTATTAATTCTCCCCCTTTCAGTTTAAATTGATCCCACCCCCAAGTTGTTCCATGTCCTTGGTGGAAAACAGTCAGCTATCTCTATAGCACCTACTACAGACTTTCAAGGCTGCCCACCCGGAGCCACATAGGACCTTCTCCCTCAGCCCTTGGGGCAAAGAATTGCAAGGGGCAGGGGAGAGGTGAGTTCCATATCCAGTCATGACACCCCCACCACCGCCTTGCCCTGTTTAGTTTGGCCCTTCACTTTCACCAGGTTATCGTCCTGTTGCTTCCATACTTGGCCTTCACGCGAGTCTTAAGGGCTAGAAGCTTGGTTTTTAAATGGGGGAGGCAAATTGCCCCTCTCTAAAGGAGTACTGCATTCTGTTGCATTAGTTAACTCCCCCCCCCTTTTTTTTTTTTACAAAAACTGCTTTGAAAGGGTGTGGATGGGGTGGGGGGCTTCTAGAGTGTATAATAACCTTAAAAACAGTTGTCAGTTTCTGCAGTGTGTTCCTGAAATACAAATCGACAAGGTCTCAAGCAAGGTCCAGAGCAAGTGGAACTGATTAAGAAGCCGTTGCCTATAAAAAGCCATGAGCTTTTCCAACTAATACCTCTCAGGAAGCGTTCTGTCGGCCTGACACTTATTCTGCTGCTGAACAGGCTGGAAAAGCCGCAGCATAGAATCCCCATAGGAAACAATGAATTGAGGGCACCCTCTTTGGATGCCCCTGGAATTGGACCCCCTGGTCCAGTCTTTTCAAAACGTTGTGAGTCTTTTGGGGAGAGACTCCAGCAGCTACAGTGCAAATTTAGTGCTTCTACCTCAAACCACCTCCTTCCCCCCAGCCCCCTGAAGATTTGTGAGAAGATTTTTGCCATTGACATGGCCCCATAGGATATAATGGACCCAAAATTTTTTGGAAATCCCGAAAATTTTCAGGTATCTATACAATACTGGTATTGGTATTAGGGTCTTTTTCGGTATCCCCGAAAAAATTCGGGTCCAGTACATCCGAATCCAGGGGGGGAAACACAATCCCCCCCCCCACATACCCCTAATAGAATTTGGGGTTAATAGAGGGGGTTTTTTTGCATTGGTAACACTGTGTCCTTCAAATCTTGGCAGTAGAAACTTGAACAAAAGAAAATGGGGGAATCAAAGGAGATCTGGGGATCCAGTTCCTTGTAGGGAAAGCTCTTCCTGGCCTTCCACCTAAGTACTGACCCTGCTTAGTTTCCGAGTTCTGACATGGTCGGGCTATGCCATGCTGCCTTCTCTCCCGCCAGAGGTAGTTTGCTTCTGTGTATTAGTTGCTGGGGAGGCTGTTGCCGTCTTTCTGTTTATGGGCTTCCTAGAGGCAGCCGATCTGTCGTTGTGTGAACAGAATGCTAGACTTGAGCAGATCCTGGAGGGCTCTTCTTCTGTCCTAAATCACTTCACGTCCATGATTTCAGTAGTCCTTGCAATCACCTTCTGATGCCTGCCAGTAGCATAGTCCTTATATTTCCAGTAGGGCAGGCCCCTGAGACTCACGGGAGAAGTAACTCGCTGCTTAGTTCATAGATGAGACTTGAAACGTGGGGGTCTTCTAGGTAGACCTCTCCTTAGCCACCATTCTCCACGTGTTCTCCACAAGTCCCGTACCAATAGAATAAGTACAGCAGCACGGGTGGATGACAGACTTACTACAATTACGCAGGGCCTGCGAGACGGAGCTCTTCCACGAGACATTTGACCACATTTAACATCTGGATATAACATCAGAGCCTTCCCTGGGATCCTTTCCATCATTACTGTTGCATTGACTGACTCCCGTTATGAAATATCGGATATGGAAATATTGGAGCACTGTCCGCTGCTACATTGGAATCCCTTGTATAGCACTTTGGGTTTTATGTTGTATAGCACTTGTATAGCACTTTAGGTTTTATGTTGTATAGCACTTTAGGCTTTAAAAATTTTATGTAAGCCGCCCTGAGCCTGCTTCGACAGGGAGGGCAGGGTATAAATCTAATAAATAAATAACTCCCCCCCCTTCTCCTCCCCCAGATACGACA